ATCACATCCCTACACCTTAATGTCTGTTTTTATAGTGGCATTCTCACGATCATTGGTCTTATGATCAGGGCATTCTTCCTCAGGTTGGTTGTAGCTAGCAACAGAAATAAAGTGAACAGCCCTTCTTACATGATCTGATTGTGCTGAGTGCCTATTTTCAGGTGCTTGGTTTATTATAAAATTGAAACTGGCCCAGAGCAAGCAAGATGGGTACCACAGCCCCAGTTCAGGATTGTTGCCAAATCCTAGGTCTTTGTGCATTTTCCTCTTCCCTTGAATCTTAGCTTCTGTCCCTCAGAGTCAACCTAGCTTCTTGTTTCCTTTTTCCAAAAGCTCTTACATCAGAAAATAAGCAAGAAATTTACTCTTCTTTTACTTATTTATTTTGGTTGGCTCTGTTACAGGAATGAGGGTCTATTTTATCTTAAAGAAATAAAATTAGACAGTATTAGAGAAATCAAAACATTTCTCTGGCCAAATTCAAAATTATCTTTGGTACATTTTAAATCACCATGTTTAAACAAATCAGTGTAATCTGTGGTTTTGCTTTTTAAGGGAATGTAAAACAGATCATATTCTGTCAGGAAACTCCCTCTACACGGGCTCCCTCCTACTTTACGTTTTTCATCCCAACCAAGGTTTAATTCATTACAAACAGAATTTTACTCCCTTTTGCGTCACTGAACTGCTGGCAGAGAGAAGAGGAGGAAAAAAGTTCAATGGCTGTGCATCATCCCAATAGGTTCCCCTAGCACACATGCACAAACATATCTGTTACTTCTCTGTTCTCTCACCTGCATCCTCAGACTTGCCCTTCCTTATCTCGCCTTCCCTTTTGTCTTTACTGCCCTGTGTGTGTGTCTCTGGAACCCTCTGTCAAGTCAGGCCTTTAGAAAATCTTTTAAGCCTACATGAGCCACTGCCAGGTACCTAGAACATTTCCATTGGCAAGGTGTGTTTGGTTGGGAGAAGAGTTCTAGAGCTTTAGTGGCAGTTCTTCTATGTATGGAGGTGGGGGGCAGAGGAAAGGGGGAGCAGGCAAAGAAGGGATATGTTCTAAATATCTCAATTAGAAATTTGAATTAATTTTCCCATGGGAACTTTTATTATAAGTTGTTATTGGATTCTGGAATATGATGAGTGCTGACAGTGCTTTTTTTTTTTTCCTACGAGGAAATATATTCCAAGTACCAAATAACCAACAAGAGTGTGTTTACAAAACTCAAACCATTAATACGTTGTAGGAATTGCCTGTGCAGATTTACTCTGATTGTTTTTTGTATTGAAGCGTAGTCACACTCAGTAAAGAGTCCTCAGATGAGTATTTTCTTTGTCATTTTCTAACAGCGGGCAGACTTTACTGAACAGAGAGATTGTAGCGCCCCTATTCTTGCCCAGATTTAGATATATATAATTAGCATTTTGTAAATGCTAAAATACTAAAAGAAAGAAATATTTGAAGCTGATTATATTAATACCATATTAAGATACTCATTCTAAATGAATATTTTTTCAGGAATTGAACATTAACTTTATAATTTGTTGGTTGCTTTTTTTTTTACGTTAAAAAATCAGATTAATTGAGGTATAATTTATGTATAATTAAATTCACCAAATGCATGCAGTCATGAAACCACTACCACAGTCAAGACATAGAATGTTTCTGGGGTGCCTGGGTGGCTCAGTTGGTTGAGCATTTGACTCTTGATTTCGGCTCAGGTTGTGGTCTCACGGTTAGTGAGTTCAAGCCCCACATCCAGCCTGCATGGACAGCACGGAGCATGCCTGGGATTCTCTCTCTCCCCCCTCCCCCGCTCAAGCTCTCCCTGTTCTTTTTCTCTTTCTCTCTCTCAAAATAAACTTAAAAAAAAAAACAAAACAAGATATAAAACATTTCCTTCACCCCAAAAACTTTCCCTGTACCCCTTTGCAGTCAATTTTCTCTCTCAAGCCCCTGACAATTACTGATCTGTTCTCTGTCCCAAAGTTTTGCCTTTCCTTGAATGTCATATAAAACAGTCTTAAAGTTTTGTAGTCTTTTTTGGGTCTGACTTCTTTTACTTAGCCTAGTGATTTTGAGATCTACCCATGTTGTTGCATGAAGCAGTATTTGTTTCCTTTTTATTGCTGAGTGGTAGTCCCTTGTGTGGATAGACCACAGTTTGTTTATTTATTCACCAGTTGATGGACATTTGGGTTTTTTCCAATTGGGGGCCATTATGAATAAAGCTACTGTGAGCAGTTGAATACAGGTATTTGTACAGACGAATATTCTCAATGCACCTGGGTAAATATTTAGAAGTAGGATTGCTGAGTGGACAGTAGGTAAATGATCACCTTTATAAAAAACAACCAAACTGTTTTCCAAGGAGTTGTATAGTTTTGTATTCCCACCAGCAATATATGAGAGTTATAGTTGCTCCATAGCCTCATTAGCACTTTCTATTGTCTGTCATAACATTTTTTGCCATTCTAGTGGGTATGTAGTGCCATCTTGATGTGGTTTTTAATTTACATTTCCCTGATGACCAGCCGTGTTGAACATCTGTTAACTTTCATGTGTGTGCCATTTATATTTGTTCTTTAATGAAATTTCTCTTCATATCTTGCCCATTTAAAACAATCAGGTTGTGGGGCGCCTGGGTGGCTCAGTCGGTTGAGCATTTGACTTCAGCTCAGGTCATGATCTCACAGTTCAAGCCCCGCATGGGGCTCTGTGCTGAACACTTGCTCAGAGCCTAGAGCCTGCTTCAGATTCTGTGTCTTGTTCTCTCTCTCTCTCTCTCTCTCTCTCTCTCTCTCTCTCTCTCTCTCCCCCCGCCCCCGCCCCCGGCTCATGCTCTGTCTCACTTTGTCTCTCAAAAATCAATAAATGTAAAATTTAAAAAAAATAAATAAATAAAAATAAATAAATAAATCAGGTTGTCTTCTAGGGTTACCTGGGTGGCTGAGTCAGTTAAGCATATGACTTCAGATCACAATCTCACAGTTCGTGGGTTCGAGCCCCACGTCGGGCTCTGTGCTGACAGCTTGGAGACTGGAGCGTGCCTCAGATTCTGTGTCCCCCTCTCTCTGCCCCTCCCCTGCTCGCACTCTGTCTCTCTGTCTCTCAAAAATAAATAAACGTTAAAATTATTAAATAAATAAAAATTAAAAATCGGGTTGTCATCTTACTGAGGCAGAAGAAGTATGGATGATGTCTGTGGAGTGACCCTATAGGGTAGAGGCTGGAGATGTGGGTGGTGTAAGAATTCACCCAAGGCAGAACAAAGGAGATTGAAGTTTATTGAATACACTGCAAGAGAACTTCGGGGCAGGATAGCAAAGGAGAGACAAGCGAGTAGGCAAAGTTGGGGGACTGGATTTAAGCGGGTGGGAAGTGAAGAGGCATGGGAACATACGGAATTTTCCTTTTTTGGTACTTGTGCCTCGTCATAAGTAGCCCATTGGTCAGCTAGGGCTTATGGATATTTTGAGGTGGGTCTTCCCGTTTGCATTCAGCTCCATAGTCACCATGGACCCTTTTACCTTACTCAGGTTTCCATTGGTCGAGCCTGTTGCCTAAAAGTGGCCTCCGCATTGTCCTTTATCAGATATGTGTTCTCTAAATATTTTCTTCTGGTATGTGGCTTGTCTTTTCATTCTCTTAACAGTATCTTTTGAAGAGAAGTTTTTTTTTTTTTTTTAATGTGTATTTATTTTTGAGGGAGAGCGAGTACACACAAATGGGGGAGAGACAGAGAGAGAGAGAAGGAGACACAGAATCTGAAGCAGACTCCAGGTTTCCAGCTGTCGGCTTAGAACCTGACGTGGGACTTGAACCCATGAACCGAATGATCATAACCTGAGCCAAAGTTGGACGCTTAACCAACTGAGCTACTCAGGCACCCCAAAGAGCAGAAGTTTTTAATTTTGATGGAGTTTAATACTTTTTTATTTTATGGTTTATGCTTTTTGTGTTTTATCTAAGAAGTCTTTGCTTAACCCAAGCTCATAAAGATTGTCTCTGTATTTTCTTCATATGGTTTATAATTTTAGCTCTTACATTTAGGCCTAGGTTCATTTTTGAGTTAATTTTTGTGTATGGTGCAAATTAAAGATCAAGGTTTTATTTATTTATTTATTTTTGCATATGGATATTCCGTTGTCCCAGGATAGTTTGTTAAAAAGAGTATCCTTTCAACATTGAATTATCTTGGCCCCTTTGTTACATCATTGCTTTGAAACCTTTCTTCTTCCCTAATATAAAGCATTTAGTGTTAGGTTTCTTGAAGAATTGTATTAGCTGCCTCCCTTAGGTTGTGCTTTCTTTTTCATTCAGTTGAAGACATTTCTTTGTGAAGTTTATTTTTTGCTTATTTATTTTGAGAGAGAGGAAAAGTGCCTGTGGGCACTCACATGAGCAGGAGATGGGCAGAGAGAGAGGGAGAGGGAATCCCAAGCAGGCTCCGTGCTGTCAGTGCAGAGCCCAATGTGGGGCTCAATCCCATGAACCATGAGCCAAGATCAAGAGTTGGATGCTTAACCGACTCAGTCAGCCAGGCACCCCAAGATATTTTTCTAATTTCCCTTTCACCCATGGCTTATGTATAAGTTTTTTAATTTCCAAATATTTGGGAAGTTTCTAGATATTTTTCTCTTAGAGATTTCTAACTTAATTCCATTATGGTCAGAGAACATAACAAGGTATGATTTCAGTCCTTTTAAATTTGTTAAGACTTATTTTATGGCCCCAAATATTCTTAAACTACTCAACCTTTTTTAAAAAAATTGTTTCTTCTTCATTAGTTTATATCTAGAAGTGACAGTTTACCAAATTACTATCTGGCCTATTATTTATAAAAGATCATGAGTTACAATTGTACCTTACCTAATTGTTGTGAATGTTATGTTATGGTATAAGTAATTTTACTGTGGAATGCTGTGTTGGTATTTGCTATTTTTGCCTTGTTGTAACCGCAGATTTGTAAGCTATTCTTCTGTTTTCGTGCTTTTTGTAGGTCTAAGATCTGGCAAGCTTGGCGAGCAATGTGAAGCAGTTGTTCGCTTTCCCAGGCTCTTTCAGAAGTATCCATTCCCTATTCTCATCAATTCTGCATTCCTAAAGTTAGCTGATGTTTTCAGAGTTGGGTAAGTCTTTTTAAAGCCTCGGCATCCTAAAGTATTTGTTCACGTTTCTTTGTTTAATATTGTGGTCTTTATTCTTTTTGCGCTTTAGGACTTCCACGTGGTCAGTGACCATTTTAGTGGATGCACATGGCAGTTTGCAACACTTTTTGGTGTGAAATATAATGGTGTTTTAAGCACAAATGAAGTCACAAGTCAGAGGGTACTTCTTTGGGGAACAGGATAAATCAAATTAAGATGATCTTAATGTATTGTTGTATATTTTGGAAGTGTCTGATTTATACAGGTTGTTTTGAGAAGTTTCTGACTTAATATTTTGTAACACAAGATTGCATGTTACTGTGAGGTTCCTAAAACATGGGAGCACTGGATAAATCCCTGCTGGTTGGTTGGTTTGTTTTCTCCCCACCAGTCCCTCCTACTTCTTTCCACCATTTTTCATGCACTCAGGTACTTATATACACACCGAGTCAGACTTGAAGGAGAAGAGATTTGTAGAATTAGCTTGCTAGAAGAGGAAGACCATCTGAGCTCCCGGCCATGGTTATAATACAATTGAAGAGATGAGGTTCATCGCTACAGCTTCTCTTTCTGATTCTACCCTCTTGGTGTCTGGCCTCAGAACTGTAGGCATTGCTAACTGCTTATGCTTCGTATTCAAAGCATAGGCTTCAACTCTTTTAGTGATGAGAGAAAAAAATGATAAGATTGAAAAACATTGCCCCATTGCTAACATTTAAAATCATGTGTTGCTTTGATTCCTAATTAAATATTACTTTCCTAAGGTGGTCTCATTTACCTTTTCTCTGCTTCTTCATAGAAACAATTTCCTGAGGTTGTGTGTCCTTAAAGTTACTCAACAGAGTGAGAAGCATTTGGAGAAGATTCTAAATGTGGATGAATTTGTGAAGAGAATTTTCTCTGTGATTCATAGTAACGATCCTGTGGCAAGAGCCATCACACTCCGGTATACTCTGTTGCTATAATGAATCCACAAGATTCTTTGGGCTGTAATTATGTACTCAAGAAAGGCAATATATGTACTTTTTTCATTTTGGATGGTACTAATTTATTTTTTCAATTAAGACTCCAGGCAGAAATATGGTAACCATCCCAATCTATACATGCTTTTAGTTACCATCTATGATACTGTTTGGTTGTGAATTATTGAATTATTGCCTAACTTGTGTGTTTGAAACATTCCTTTTCCTAAGTTGGTGTTCTGATCAGATAACTTGGATCTGAATCTAGCTTAGCCTCAGATGATTTTGAGCTCTTACTGACTTTGTTCTGTTTCAAGTCAGTTTTTGTATTCATCCGTGGTTATGTGCTCATTTTTAAAAAAAAATTTTTTTTAATGTTTTATTTTTGAGAGAGAGAGAGAGAGAGAGAGTAAGCTGAGGAGGGGCACAGAGAGGGAGACATAGAATCCAAAGCAGGCTCCAGGCTCCGAGCTGTCAGCACAGAGCCTGACATGGGGTTCAAACTCATGAACTGTGAGATCATGACCTGAGCTGACGTCGGATGCTTAACCGACTAAACCACCCAGGCGCCCCTGTTACGTGCTCATTTTTATATGCAGTCATTTGTATTTGAACCCCTTGGAGAATGCCAGATACAACTACTGTTGTTTGTTCAGCCTTTTCTTTCTTGGCATCTAAAAAAAATTTTTTTTTAATTCTGTCAGAATTTTATACTATAAGCCTTCTATCCAGTTTCAACCGTATTTTCTTTTCAGGTCTGCCGTCTATGGAATGTATGTGTAATGTTTAGACTTTTGAAATTGACTTTCCTAAATTATAGGGCTCATTTCTGACTTGCCTTGTTCAGACAGTCCTCTTTTTAGCCAGGAAGTCTAGGATATCACTTTTTCCCTAAGTTTTTCCATCAGGAGCCAGCGCTTCCCTCTTGTTCAGGATTAAGTGCTTTTGTCATTCCTCTGCCTTTTGAGTGATTAAATTTTGAGCACAGTGTGATATTTTAAAGACAGTAAATTGGCTTTATCTTTTAAAAACCATATATAAAAGATTTAAAGATATCTTACCTTTTTTTTTTTGTTTATTTTTGAGAGAGAGAGAGAGAGAGAGAGTCAACACTCACACACAAGTGAGGGAGGGGTAGAGAGAGAATCCCAAGCAGGCTCCACGCTCCAGCACAGAGCCCCATGTGGGGCTCAGTCTCACAAACCGTGAGATCATGACCTGAGCCGAATCAAGAGTTAGATGGATGCTTAACTGACTACCCAGACCCAAGATATTCTTACCTTTTGATTCAGCAAATTCACTTACAGAAATTGTTTGCTATAAATCATTTTTAAAAGTTGGTGGATATATGTATACAGATGATCATAGTATCATTTTTGTAAAAGGTGAAAAATGATGTGTCGATATGGGAATAGTTAATTTATGGACCACTGTATACCTTTTAAAGAATGAAGTAAGTATGTGTTTAACATAGAGATACTAAGTTAAAAAAAACAGTCAAGTGATGTTCATTTTATTAACTCATTTTTGTCTATAATATTAATATATGTGTTTATACAGGCTCAGAAAAAAATCTGAAGGAATATATACTGTTAACAGTGATGAGTTTTGTCAGGGGTCATTGGGCTATGGATTACAAGAGACTTCCGAGTGGTTTTGTAATGTTTGAGTTATTTTCCACATGTATACTTTATTTATTTATTTATTTTGATCAGAAGACAAAAAAAAAAAAAAAAAAAAAAAAAAAAAAAAGAGAAAAAATAGAGTGTAAATAGGGGAATGATTTCATAAATAATTTAGACCTAGTTTGAATATTTTGAGAAGAATATAGATTAATATTTGAATATTCCATTCATTTTGCATGCTTGCCCTTTCTAAGTCATGGCAACTGGGCTTTGCCACAGTTCTTCATTGAATAACCAGAGATTTCTAGAAAGCTTCCAGAAAGAGAGGATTTACTTATTTAGATCACTTTAAAGGGAAAAAATTCAGATTGAAGTAATAGGTTTCAACATTAACACTTGATGCAAAAAGTACTAAAAGAAATTTGAGCTAAGAATGTTATGGAATCCAGTTGCCATTTAAAATGTAGTACAATAAGAAGGTCTTCAGATAGATAAGGCCTCAGATATTTTTGCCAAATATAGGGACCTGTTTTGAAAACATTCTTGGCGTAGGCACTTTAGGAAGAGGATAAAGAGCTTGATGATTGGGAATAAGGGGTGATCCGATCGTTTTGTAAAGTTTGCAGAATTGTAAATACCAAACCAAAAAAAAAAAAGTGTTTTTATAATAACTCAAAACTGAAATTGTAGTATCAATACGAGAATATCAAACACTTTTCACAAAAATAGAACATTTTTGAATAGCCTTAGAAATTTTTTTCATGATTTCATTGTTTTTTCATCATATAAGAAATGACTTAAAGTAAAAAAGTATTTTTTAATTTAGTGTATTATTTAATATTACATTATAAGGTTTTAAAAATACAATCTTTTATATTTGCAAATGACATATCAGATAAAGGGTTAGTGTCCAAAATCTGTAAGAACTTATCAAACTCAACATCCAAAAAACAAATAATCCAGTGAAGAAACGGGCAAAAGACATGAATAGACACTTTTCCAAAGAAGACGTCCAGATGGCCAACTGACACATGAAAAAATGCTTAACATCACTCATCATCAGGGAAATACAAATCAAAACCACAATGAGATACCACCTTACACCTGTCAGAATGGCTAAATTAACAACTCAGGCAACAACAGATGTTGATGAGGATGCGGAGAAAGGGGATCTCTTTTGCGTTGTTGGTGGAATGCAAGCTGGTGCGGCCACTCTGGAAAACAGTACGGAGGTTCCTCAAAAACTTGAAAATAGAACTACCCTACGACCCAGCAATTGCACTACTAGGCATTTATCCACAGGATACAGGTGTACTGTTTCGAAGGGACATATGCACCCCACTCTTTATAGCAGCACTATCAACAGTAGCCAAAGTATGGAAAGAGCCCAAAAGTCCATCGATGGATGAATGGATAAAGAGGTGGTGTGTACACACACACACACACACACACACACACACTGGAGTATTACTCGGCAATCAAAAAGAATGAAATCTTGCCATTTGCAACTACGTGGATGGAACTAGAGGGTATTATGCTAAGCAAAATTAGAGAAAGACAGATATCATATGACTTCACTCATGAGGACTTTAAGAGAAAGCAGATGAACATAAGGGAAAGGAAGCAAAAATAATATAAAAACAGGGAGGGGGACAAAGCATAAGAGACTCTTAAATATGGAGAACAAACAGAAGGTTACTGGAGGGGGGATGGGCTAAACGGGTAAGGGGCATTAAGGAATCTACTCGTGAAATCATTGTTGCACTGTGTGCTAACTAATTTGGATGTACATTTAAAAAAATAAAATTAAAAAAATATAAAAATACAATCTTTTAGAAATTATAAAGAAAACTAATTTTGCGCTTCAGCAAGTAACAAACACCATATCATTTACTGCTTATGTAAGAAAAAGCATGAATTGTCAATAAAAAAATTTAAATCACATGTTTGACTTGGGACTAAATATATTAAAATGTAGATTCCTTTCTTTTCCAGTAACACTTTACTATAAATTTTAACAAAAGAGCAAAAAACTTTTTCTAATGCATTTCCTAGTAAATTACAGACCGTATACTTTCCTTTGGATACTTTAGCATGCGTATCATTAGCTAGAGTTCAGTTTGTTTACAGGGTTATCTGGTTCTTTAATGTCAGTTAATTTACTGAGTACTGACAGATGTTTCAAGTAACTCCAACCACTATCAAGGTATAGAACTTACTCCAGAATATTCCTTCATGCCCCATCCTACTCACTTCTCTCGTCTACCTCCCCAGAGGCCACTGCTGGTCTGAGTTTTTCCTGTTACCTAGATAAGTTTTCATCTGTTTTCAAATGTCATGTAAGTGGCCTCATACAGTGGGTATCCTTTTGTGTAAGGCTTCTTTTCGTTTTTTGATATTAATCCATTTTGTATGTCATTAATATGTTTGTTTTTATTGCTGAGTACTTTTCCATTGTGTGACAGTAACAGTTTATTTGTTCTCTTACTGATGAACTCTTAGGCTCTTTCCAATTTACAGCTATCATAAGTAAAGTTGCTATGAACCTTCTTGTCCAAGACCTGTTGTGAACATGCTTCCCTTTCTGACAAATATATACTTAGGAGTGAAATTGCTGAACCATAGGGTAGGTGTATATTTAATTTTATAAGAAACTGCCAAGCCTTTTTCCAAAGTGATTGTAACCATTTTATATTCTGACCAACAGTATGTGAGTTCTGGTTACTTCACCTTCTTGCCAGCCTTTGGTGTGTCTTATCTTCTACATTAGCCATTCTGATGGGTGTGTAGCAGTTTTGATTTGCGTTTCCCTGATGGTAATGATGTTGAGCTTTTTCTCACGGTTTTTCTCTCTCTTTTTGGGGAGTAGTTGTTCAAATCACTTGCCCATTCTTTTGTTAGATTGTTTAGATTTTAAGATTTTACTTGTCTTTTTATTACAGAATTGTAGGATTTCTTGATATATTCTCAATACCAGTCCTTTGTCAGATGCATGTTTTACGTATCATATTTAAGAATAGACAGAAACTTCTTTTAGGGCCTGAATGCCATGAACAGAATTACTACCATTTTTTATACTCTTCATTAAGTTATGTCTCAACATAATTGTTTCTTATGTTTTCTGTCTGTAACTAAAATAATGTATGCCTCAGAATAAAGAAAGTTCCAAACTGGGTAACTGTCAAAACCACCCCAGATGCTGGCAGTGTAAAGCCAAGTGAGTAGGCTGCGAGTGTGCTCATGTTATAGCCACTAACCACTGTACATATGCTTTTAGTTTATACCACGGGTCTTCAAAATATTCTGCTTTTAAAATGGAAAAGTAATTTAAGTACTTTTGTAATTAAAAAAAAAAAAGATGTCAGCATTTTGAAACCCCATTTGGGAAACAGTGGCCTGCTCAACTGAAGAGAAGTTTGGCTGTATGCATAGGAAGAACTGTTTTGGTCCCAACTCACATTCTGATGTGCTGACATTTCATAAATCACTTTCCCTGCTGTAAAATGAGAAAAATGATACCTGCCCTAATGGATTCACTTACTTCCTATGTGGGCAAAATGCAACACATGCCAAAAAAGAAAAAAAAAAAGTTTTCAGTCACCATAGAAATGTAAAGAAACTGGCTGTTAAAAATCTATCTTTGAAATGTATGAAGCATATTAGTGATTATATATTCATTCCTTCTATCATGAAATGCTTGATTATAATACTTTTTTTATAAATAAAAAGATATAATACAGAAATGATCTTAACATTTTATAGGAATATGATTTTTCATTGAAGAGCCTGGTAATAGCACAATGAAAAACTGAAAAACGAGTCTGTTGAGAAAAACAAAGTCTATAAAGAAAAGATGGGGCTGGTAAATGATAGATCAACATTAAGTACCCGTTGAGTAGAAAGTTTGTTGTGTGTTTTAAGGAACATAGATTTAAGTGAGAACTCTGATCTCAAGGAGACTGCTTTCTAGAAGAATGTATTAATAAGATTAAACTCATGAAGAAAAGCAAAAAGTGATGTCTCTCAAACGCTAAGGAGTTTTTAGAGTCAGAATGATTTAAACTTAAAAAGGAGAAAGGACAAGGAAGAGATGATATTTCAAAGATTTTTTTTTTACCCATTACTTTAGACTTACCAATTAAAATAGGGGTGCCTGGGTGGCTCAGTTGGTTAATAAACATCCGACTCTTGATTTCGGCTCAGGGCATGATCTCACAGTTCGTGAGTTTGAGCCCTGGGTCAGGCTCTGCTCTGACAGCGCAGGGCTTGTTGGGATTCTCTCTCTCTCTCACTTTTGCTCTCACTCTCTCTCAAAAATATTTTCAAAAAATCTAGACTTATCAAAGCAAATGGAAGGAGAAGAAGCTGGAAGGTATTTATAACGTTTGAAATGTAGTGCTACAAGTTATTTATAATATTACCAGAAATATCTTCAGAAAGTAGTGACCAGTGGGATTATGCTTGTTTTGCCCTTTTATATTTAAATAGCAACAAACTGTTAATCCAAATGTGTCAATATTAGCCTAATCTCATTTTCTCTTGTATAAAATATATCACAAGCCATTTATTTCTTTTGAAAAATATCTATGTAATTTCAAAACTTTATTTTCAAATTGAATACAAATCACATATTTAGTCCGTTTTAGTATTTTGTTTTGTATAAACTCTAACACTTCTGTCCAGTCAAACCTCCATAAGATAGTGATGGCGTGTCAAGTTGGAAGGTACTTAGGACATTGACTTAGACAAAGGTTGTCCCTGTAAGAACTCTGTTTTGTTCATCGCAGTGTTTTGCAGCCCTCTAAAATCCACGCCTTTCTGCTGAAAACATCTTTCAAGCTCTACCTTCTGTAGTTTATGTTACAAACAATAGATTTTTTTTTCCCTTTCCCAAATTGACAGTTTATTATAAAGTAGCCTGTGTTTTTCCAGACTCTACCTTCCTCACCCTCGCAGACTCCGATATGAGCCCCAGGGAACATCCTCTACCTCTTTTCTCTTGGTGTTGAAGACAGATTTGAAGATCATGCTATCAGTATTTACTGATGAGGAAAAAAAAATTGGAAATCTTACTTTTTTTACTTTGTGGATCTGCTTAATAGCAAAAATGTTGCTCTGCTAAAATGGACTTACTTATAGAATATTGGAAAATTGGTATTTTGATGCTTTAATAATTCAGAAGTTTCTGGGCTCCACCTGGTACCTGGAATGTACTTCAGGATGATAATTTTAAATTTTGCTTATGTTAGATAAGCCATGTTAATTTTTCTGACATTGGAGTATGGAAAAGTGTTTAGAATTTGAGTCACTGCTTGGTTCCTAAAATTGATGCTTTATTAACCTGAGGTTTAAGGAATTACCTACAAATTTTTTTTTAAATTTTTTTTTTTTTTTTCAACGTTTATTTATTTTTGGGACAGAGAATGAACGGGGGAGGGGCAGAGAGAGAGGGAGACACAGAATCAGAAACAGGCTCCAGGCTCTGAGCCATCAGCCCAGAGCCCGACGCGGGGCTCGAACTCACGGACCGCGAGATCGTGACCTGGCTGAAGTCGGACGCTTAACCGACTGCGCCACCCAGGCGCCCCCAAATTTTAATTTTGGTATCTAGCTTTGCCTTGCTTCTTCCTCTCTTGATTTTTAGCTTAAGGTATTTCTGTTATTCTTGGGTTTCTTTTTCTCTGTAGGATGTTGGGAAGTCTGGCATCAATAATTCCTGAGAGGAAGAATGCTCATCATAGTATCCGGCAGAGTCTGGATTCACATGATAACGTAGAAGTTGAAGCTGCCGTTTTTGCTGCTGCAAACTTTTCTGCACAGTCAAAGTAAGCATCAGCCTTTTAATAATTTGGCTTCCCGAGAAGAGGTTTTGAAGGAATAACTCATCACTGTACATAAACACTAAGAGGAAAATATAAATGGCGAGGCGTATTTTCCAAGAGAGTTTACATCATGTTGGGGAAACAGAACCTCAGTACATGTAATAGAAAAGTACATATGTTGGCATTAACTGTAATAAATGAGAATTTCCAGAAGGACAGATCAGCACAGATTGGAGTAGTTAGGGAGGGCTTCATTGAGGAACAGAAGTTCTGTCCACCGAGGCACCCTCCCCAAACATACACGGGTCGGATGCTCAATTGCTACTTTCCTGTTGTCTCTTCAAGGTTGGCTGTTTGGCATTAGAGCTGTGGATAGTTTGACAGAGATAGTAACTCGAGCTGAAACCAGGTTTAACCTATTTGAGATGTCATATCCTACACTATTATCTTGTAGGACAGTTTTTTTTTTTTTTTTGGATGCAGTGTTGACCATGATTATGTTACTGTTTGACTTGTTAAATTACTCTCTCTAAAAAAATATATTATCCCCTTTACTGACTGATAATCAAAAGTAGCATTGCTCTGGAGGACATTTTGGTAGTATGCATTTTGCCTTAAACATGTCCATCCTTTTTCCCCTTAAGTGGACCTATAAAATCCACTTCTGAGAACTTATCCCAAGGAATCAGCAAAGTGTACTGATAATTATTTGCAAGGATGCTAGTTGCAGTGTTATAAAAACAAAAAAGATTAGTAGCAACCTAACTTCTAACCAATGTATGTAGATAAATATGATCATACAATGAAGTGTTACATCAGTTCTTAACAAATATATTTTAGAAATGTATTTGAAAACAGGGTACATCATAGCTTATGGGATAGTATAGAATATATTTTTTAAGAAACGTGTGTTTGTATTGATGGAATGGAAAAAGACAAAGGATATATAGATCAAATATTGTCTCTGGGTGATAACTTGGTATCTTATTTTAATTTTACTTTTTATAAATTTCTGTATATACTGTCAGGAGCAGGTTTGGACTTTATAATCAGATGAATGATGTTATTTTTGAAATTAAAAAATAGCATTTCCTATTAAGAATCTCTGCTAAATTTGGATAAAACTTGAAATAATCACCAATTTTCTTTATTCAGATTTTAGCTATATGAATATTCATTTCTTCAGCTGCTCCTATCAAACCTTCAGAATCATAGGATTATTCATTGGAAAAGGAGAATGGAGAATAGAAAGCATGTAATTTTTAATGTCCTGCTCAAAATTAGTAGGTGTGGCAGTAATTGAGGAAGAGAGATATCTGAGTAAATACAATTCTTATTTGTGCTTTTGAAAACTAATGTTTTTTTTCTTATTGAGAGTAATTACTATTGAGAGAACTTTTTAAAAATTATTTTTATTGGATAAGAATTATATCTAGTGAATGGTTATCTGATTACCACTGACAAAGTGTCAGTACTTTATAATCTGAGTAAATTTGCTACTTTCTGTAGCTCCAAGATAGTTTTTTCTTTTTTTTTTTTAATTTCTAATGTTTGTTTATTTTTGAGACAGAGAGAGACAGAGCATGAGCAGGGGAGGGACAGAGAGAGAGGGAGACACAGAATCTGAAACAGGCTCTAGGCTCTGAGCTGTCAGCACAGAGCCCGACGTGGGGCTCAAACTCACAAGCCGAGAGATCATGATCTGAACCGAAGTCAGACGCTTAACCCACTGAGCCACCCAGGTGCCCCTCCAAAATAGTTTTCTAAATTTAGTTTCAAAATTTAGATGATAGATTTGTAATTTAGCGATTATATTTGATTTAATGAGAATCATCTTTACTTCAGATTTTCTCTTATGTTCTAATCAGAAGCCAATTTTACCAGCTATGGAATTTCTAATCTGTTTTAGAAAAGATTAAGACCAAATAACATAGAAACATGATTCTTTGTTTATAGAATTGATGACCAGCAAACATTTAAATTGACAGTTTATGTAGAAGCAGTTTTTAATGTAAAAGGTTTCAATATGATATAATTTGTGATGTTTAAAAATACCAAAATAGCACAGTAGGGAAGGCTGAAGGGCTTATCAAAATGTATCAGAGTGTAAAATTGTATGATGAACTGTATCTTTTTGAGATTAGCGTTTACCTCTTCTTCTGAAATGATGACAGACCTGGCCTGAGATCAGATATCTCAACCAGTACTGATGGGTTTTTGTCTTAGTATCTCTATCAATTTTGGATCTTAAATGGATTAGAGCAACTGGCCAAATAAGACCTTAAGAATTTATTTAACACTGTTCTCCCCCTGTCTAGTATCATAATCACATCTCACTTGTTCTAAAAAAGGTTAGGATTTTATATATTTAAAGAGCTAGTCACCGGGTCACAAAGCAGGAGTTGGAAACCCAAATGCCTTCAGAGAATGGGGATGCATTGTCAATGAGAAAGGTGCCCTCTTGTGGCCACTGTGCTGAACTGAATAGTGCACTTGCCATCTAAAAGTGGTAGCTGCATGCCCCTTGGCCCCAGCTGATTGTGACAGGGCAGGAATGTAGGTGCAATGTTGTGAGATCTGACTTTTTTTGGGGGGGGGGGGGCTGGAAAATCTGATTATTCTGTTTATAATCTTATTACCATATGAGACTATATATTTTTAACGTACATTCTTAGTGTTGACATTAAGAATTTTAAAAAGTGTTACTGGATAAGTGAAAGGAAAGAAAGAAAAAAGAAAAGAAAAGAAAAGAAAGGAAAAGATAAGAAAACTGCAGGCTTCTAATTTGCAGTTCATTGGCCCTAAAGCCCTGTAACAGATTTTTAAATTTTGAGTTGCATAAAAGTTATATAGTTAGTGAAAAAAATTCTTCTTGAATATCCACCATATCCAGATAACTATTCTAAACACCCAGGAATACAGGGGTAGAGAAGATCATGGCCCTATTGTTATGTAAACACGGAATAGTTTTAGATGCGTGTTAATATATGAAAAACTAAAACCATTTTGTGATAAAAATAATTTCATCATTGTGATAATGACCTGAATGAACTGCTTTAAGTAGGGTGATCAGGGAAGGCCTCTCTGACGAATGACATTTGAGCTGAAACTGGGTGATAAAGAGGCCGCAAGTGAGAGGAAGAATATTCTAAGAAGAAGGGATAACAAGTATGAGAGCATTCTGAAATGTGGATGAGTTGTATATACAGACCTGATACACCTCTTACCTTATACCTAAAAGACATTATAACTTAACTTTTTCTTATCAAATGTGAAATTGCTATCTTAAAACAGTAGTTTTCCAACTATTTGGTATTAGAATCTCTTTACACTTTTCAAGCATTATTGAGGTCCTCAAAGAGCTTGTTTATGTGGACTACAGTGATTGATATTTACACTATTAGAAATTTAAATGTCTAAATTTTTAAAGTACTTACTAATTCATTTTTAAAATAACAGTTCTCTAAAGATGTTAATGTAAAAATACTGCTATGAAAATAATTATTTTCCAAAATAAAAAAGCAGTTTTGTGAGATGAGTAGCATTGATATACCTTTTTTGGAAATCTCTTTAATGGCTGGCTGGATTCTAATATCTGTTTCTGTACTCAACATTTCTGCTGGCAATATGTTATTTTGGTTAAAGTGTATGGAAAAAATCCAACCTCACACAGATATATAGTTGGAAAAGAAAGGAATATTTTTATTTATTTATTTTATTATAGGGGTTTTATTTTATTTTATTTTTAAACATGAAATTTATTGTCAAATTGGTTTCCATACAACACCCAGTGCTCATCCCAACAGGTGCCCTCCTCAATACCCATCACCCACCCCCCTCTCCCTCCCACCCCCCATCAACTCTCAGTTTGTTCTCAGTTTTTAAGAGTCTCTTATGTTTTGACTCCCTCCCTCTCTAACCTCTTTTTTTTTTTTTTTTTTTTCTTCTCCTCCCCCATGGTCTTCTGTTAAGTTTCCCAGGATCCACATAAGAGTGAAAACATATGGTATCTAAGAAAGAAATATTTTTAAAGGCTTGATAGGTAATTACGGATATTTTTCTTTGATGCTATACCAAAACCAGACAAGTGTGGTTTCTTAAAATTAAACTGCAGTGTGGGCTCTAAAACCGTATCCATGAACTTGTACTTTATTACGCTGAAATCCATTGGAATCTCTTACCCATGTCTGGTTTTATAACTTATGCATTTGTCTTTTGGAAAGTATTGGTTCACTGTGTTATGCACATCATCCAAATGTTGACGCACCTCACTGTATCATATCAGAGGTTCACATTTGTTACTCTCACCACCGATCTCATCAGGAAAGTCTTTAAATATTAAGCTGTCAAACTCATGGCCATAGTTGCAAGTTTCCTGAAATCCTGATTTTTGCTTAGAAGTTCAGATTGGCAAAAAATTTTCCCCTGTTATTTTCTGTGAATTTACAAGCTGGCTTTATTCGTCTTTTGAGAAAATGTCTACCAAATAGCCATGTCTGAATAACCATGAAGTTTTATGAAAAAAAACGGCTAATTCATATCATAATTGAAACAGCTGCCGGGGACTTATCCTGGAGACATCCAGTGTGTACTTTATGTGTGCCTTCCATTTTGTCCGATAATATTAAAAAGACACTTGCTCAAGGGTTGAAATTCAATAAAATTAGTAATTTCCACTGTTTTATCAGGGACATTTGTAAGCACATCTGACTTCCTTTCTTCCTTTTCATGTGAGTGCGCAGCAGTCAGCAGTGCAATGACCGTAGTTCAGTTTGGGGACACTGCCTTGGCTCTTGGTGAGGTGCTAGCAATTTCAATCGTTACTTTGGTACCAGTGGTGAAGATGGCAGCATTGGTGTTCCAGAAAAACCAGAAGATTTAAAAACAACCAAAAAAAAAGTTACTCACTTTGAAAATTTCAGCACAAATCATGTTGATTGCCCAGAGTTCACATAAAAGACGAGGTTTTATGATTAGGTGATGCTGATATAACCAGAAGAGCATGTCTCGCATGTCTGTTGATTTGTCCGTCTGTATGCAGAAATAAAACTCTGCAGTTGAGCTGTTACTCAGTCTTCCTGTTTGCAGCTAAATCTTTTATTTCATAAATTACTCTAATGTTGAAAAGTGGCAGTGCCTTGACTTCTTTTACTGACTTTTCATCCAGGTTTTCAGCATTATCAATGCTCAGCTGCACATGTCTCGTATGTTAGGTGCACTTCTCCAGCCAGTGCATTATAACTCACCCTGTTCTTATTTTTGGTTTGAAAATCAATATTTTGCTTTTAAAGAGCCCATTTAAAATAGTCTTTTTAAAAAAATGCTAAATAGTCTCAAAATGAAACCAAGAGTTAACTGGTACCATAATACATTTTGAAATGTTTGATATCATGAGGCACGATAAGTTAAATTATAAACATCTAAAAAATCAAGGATAGCTTTAGTCTTATTTTTTTTATTTACAATTTTGCTTTCCTTTAGAATAGGTTCTTTCTTTCCACACATTAGAAAACTCTCTGATCTGTCAGTTTTAGCTTTTTTCAGCATCTTTAGACGTAGACAGTACAGGTTGTGTTGAGAAAACGAGCCTTCTAATCTCTGGCCAGTGATTTTTTTTTTTTTAATTATAAAAAAAGACTTTGCAAATAAACTTTATTTTATTTTGTAATAAAATATTATTGAATTCTGAAACAAAAGCAACTTTAGATAAAATTTTAGGAAAATCTTTCAAAATTTAATGCAAAACATGACAATGTGTACTTCCTGATATGTTTCTCTATAAACATAAGGAAAACCTCAGGATTTCAAAATAATGATGAATGATAATGAGATTCTAAAGATAATAATAGATATAGTCAAGGGACGCCTGGGTGGCTCAGTCAGTTAAGCGTCCCACTTTGGCTCAGGTCATGATCTTGCAGTTCATGAGTTCCAGCCCTGCGTGGGGCTCTGTGCTGACAGCTCAGAGCCTGGAGCCTGCTTCAGATTCTGTGTCTGTCTCTCTGCTTCTCCCTGCCTTGTGCTCGCTCGCTCTCTCTCTCTCTCTCAAAAATAAACATTAAAAAAAAATAGATACAGTCAAATATAGTAACAACACAGGAGAATTGAGAACAAACTGAGTTAATCTCAGAGTGTGTTCATATACTAAACCTACTACCTTGGAAAATTCTAGAAAACAAGAATGCACAATTACACATTCCATTAGCTGTCAAGAGATGGTGTCATTATGCATCATGTAGCCTCTGGAAAACACTGAGCTTATGAGAGAATGAAACTGAAAATGGCAAATATCTTAATGGCAGGAAATATTTTATGTGGACATCCACTGAACTGCAGAGGGGAAGTATTTTATGTCTTAACATATCATTTATCATGGCTAAATGAGCCAAGCTTGATCATATTATCTGTATCATATTTCCTTACATATGATGTAATGTCCTATCCCAAATATTCATGTTATTAGTAACTTTTGCAACACTCATATTTTTGTTAAGACAGAATCAAAAGCAGCCCCTTGGAAAATACTTTACATGTATATAATATAAAAAAAAAACCCAAACATGGCTAACTTTAAATAGTTCAGCTCTTGGTAAGATTCTGCCCATATTTCCTACCACTTTTCTATTTCATAATTAGTCTACTTTTCTAAAACTTAGAATATTTAAAATCTATTTTATTGCTTGTATAGTCAGCTTATGGTATTAAAAGCTTTTCATAATTACAAGCCTTTCCTAAAACATCGCGATAGTGACCTCGAATCTTTTAGACAGTGGGGCTCGGTGATGCAGGATGCGTGCAGCAGGACTCGTAAGTCAGAGCATCGTTCCTTGAACGCCACTTGAGAATAGTGTTGACAGAGCCGTTCGCTGGTGGAAGTTTAGGTGTCAGTTGCAGTTCTCACCCCACCCCCTGTACCAGACCCTTGTTACGATTTGTAATATTGTGTTGATTTTGTTCTCTTTAAGTCCTTAGAAAACGTCAGCAAAGCGTAAGAGACTCTTAAAAACTGAGAACAAACTGAGGGCTGATGGGGGGTGGGAGGGAAGGGAGGGTGGGTGATGGGTATTGAGGAGGGCACCTGTTGGGATGAGCACTGGGTGTTGTATGGAAACCAATTTGACAATAAATTTCATATATTTAAAAAAAATCAATAATGGATACAATAAAGTAAATAATGTATTAAATTGGAAAAAAAAAGTCAGCAAATGTAATTTTTCTTGGTTTTAAAGTTTTTGCTGTTCTCTCTTTTTTCAAAGGGATTTTGCTGTAGGAATCTGTAACAAAATCAGTGAAATGATTCAAGGTATGTGTGCTTCATTTAGTATTATGAAGTGACTTACTGGGATTTGTATTAATAATAGCTGCTGCCATTTATTAAGTACTTACTGTGTGCTTGTCACCATTCATTTACTTATTCATTTAAATAATATTAAGCGTCTTCTAAATGCCAGAGCTGTTCTGGGTGCTTAGGATACAGTAATGAACAAAACAAAGTCCTTGCCCTCCTGTAACCTACATTCTAGTGGCAGAAGTGGGGGGGGGGTGGCAATAGACAAATAAAAATAAAATATAACAGTTGCTATGGAAAAAAAAGCAGGGTAGGGACGGGGAGCTCCCAGAGTAGAGTCCCCACCCCAGGGTGGAAGGGGGTGCTTTATATTTTGTATATGCTGGTCAAGGAAGGCCACTAGTGGAGTGATATTTGTGTGAGAGATGCAGATATTTAGGGGAAGAACAGTCTGATCTGGGGAGTGGAGGGCTGTTAGAAGTTCTGGAGTTCGTTTCTTACTCTGTTCATGTTCCTCCAGTGTCTTCTTCCAGTTGCAGCTAAACTCAAATCCAGATTCCTTACCATGGCCTACAAGGCCCTAGTTTTCTAATCTCATCTTCCATATTACGCTTCATGTGTATTAACCCCATTTACCCTCCTGCTCATTAAAGGGGGCTCTGGGGCTCCAGCACTGCACAGCTCTAGAGAGCACCACATCCTTTGTATTTTTCTAAGTGACATTCCTTTGAGTTGTACAACTTGGCAGACGTTGACAGGTAATGCTGTTAGGTCTCTTTTACAGAAAAGGTAATGGAGCCACGTTAAAATTACCTGAAGACCAGGATACAATGGTTGAGCTTTGTCCTGTTCTCCTTTATTCCTTTGTGTTTTTTTCTCGCTGCCAGAAAAGGGCTCTACTGCAGAAAGCTATCATTAAAAGGATGCGTCACTCATTTGTTGAGTAGTTTTTATCAAACGCTTGCTCTGTCAGACAAGAGCTCAGCAGGGAACAGATATCACACTTGAATTAAAATAATCCAAGGAGAGTTTAAGGAAGCAACGATTTACAAAGTTGTGGGCAGGATGAACTGTAGGGGATAATGTAGTCCTGCACCCAAGGGTGCAAAGAGGGAGTGATTACCAGAAGCGTGAAGTCATGTCAAGAAGGCCACTTTTAAAAACCGACCTTCAGTGTGCTATGACCTGATGTGGCCCTGTGGAGAGGGACTCAGGGAATAAATACTCTGACGTCTTTCTTCTTCCTCCTATACCCTGCTGGGGCTCTACACTGGCTAAACTCAGACAGTGGGCAAATAGCAAGGGAGTTGATGGAAGCTATGCCCATGACCTTCCTATGCCGGTGCGGGAGTATTGTGTGTATTTGGGTGATAGTTATTAGGGTATATTCACATGTAGAAACCTGCTAGTTTGCACACTTAAGATTCATTATTGTTTCTCAAGTTTTATCTATAAAAAAATTTAAGCAAAAGAACAGGAACTCTAGGGGGTTGAAAGAGAAAGAGGGAAAAAAAGCACAGGAGTAGGGTGGAGGAAGGCTGGAGCCCAAGATAGGGAAATGGCAGGGGAGTCTTAGTAATAAAAGCATCCTTACATTTAAGTTTAAGTTGCTTGTGTTTCTGCCAAGGAAAACTTCTTGAGTGTCCCTAAACCAGTAAAAATGTCTATCAATGCGAAAAATTCCACTGACTGCTGGGTTGAGCATAGATTTGCAGAGGAAGGAGGAAGGGATATGAGATAGGAGTCTGCCATGGGGAAAGGTGTAAGTAGGGAAAATACTTAGGAGGACTTTGCAGTAATTCAGTCTGGAGATGGTGGTGGAAGTCGGCCAGAGGGACAGCAATGGGAACAGAATGGCATCGTCAGATGTGGCTTGTATTTTAAAGCTACGATCAATAGGATTTGCTAATAAATTTGGATGTGGGGTGTGAGAGAAGTAAGAGAATCAAGAAAGGCTCTATAATGATGCACCTGTCATATACTAAAGTGGGAAAAATTTTCCCATTTTTTTGTGGGGAAGACCAGAAGTTCTCTGCGCCCCAGTAAGTACAAAATGCTTCTGACCATACATCCCAGTGGAGGTGACCAGGAGGTAATGGGATTCATGTATCTGAAGTTCAGGGGCAGGGTGGAGGGGTAGGAGGAGGTAGTCTTTAGCATATAGCTGATAATGGAAGCCATGGGAATATATCACCTCACTCAAGGAAAGTACTGAGGGTGAGAAGAAAAGTGTATTACCAACCCCAAGGAATACCAGAAATTAAAGTGTGGCTAAAAGAGATGAATACAGAGAGATTGAGAAGGAATAGCCAGAAGAAGGACAAAAGCCAGGAAGAGTATGCCTTCAAGAGAGAAGAGTTTCAAAGACAGAATGGCCAGCAGTGTCAAACGCATTTGGTGCTGTAAGGATCAAAACATTAATAACATAAGCAGGATATGGCTACAGAAAGGAAACCAGGGAGCCCATACTCTGGCCTCATTTTTCTTCCCTCCATCTCCTGGGGCTCTCTGCTTTGGCCAGACCTAAACAGGCCACACAGCCAAGGGAGTTGTCGATGGAAGGCACCCCTGGATGTTGGAATGTTCTTATATATTCCCACTAACGGTGACTTCACAATGGGAAAACAGTGTTCCGCAGAGTATGAATTAGCTTTTGGCATATATGTGGTGAATTATGATCTACAGGTTTTTGTTCTTTATCATCACAAAGCCATGCTGCAGAAGAAAACATGTTTTTGTGTAGCTACGGTGTTGGCAGCAAAAGATACGCTGGACTTAATCCTCGTGGAATGCCTGCCGTGGAGGAGGTAAAAAAAAGGCATTGCCACACTAAGTTCGGAGAACTTCAGAACCCCTCCATACACAGTCCGTTCACATCCAGGTCTTGACTTAGTGTTGAAGGAAATAATTAAAACTGTAAATATAATTAAATTGTAGCCATTGAGTATGTGTGTACATATGTATATGTACCTGCATGCATATATCTTTTTAGTATGCTGTGGGAAGAAATAGATAGCAAATAATAAACTTTGCTTTCTGCTGTGCCTTTTATTATTTTTTTTTTTTAATTTTTTTTTTTCAACGTTTATTTATTTTTGGGACAGAGAGAGACAGAGCATGAACGGGGGAGGGGCAGAGAGAGAGGGAGACACAGAATCGGAAACAGGCTCCAGGCTCTGAGCCATCAGCCCAGAGCCTGACGCGGGGCTCGAACTCCCGGACCGCGAGATCGTGACCTGGCTGAAGTCGGACGCTTAACCGACTGCGCCACCCAGGCGCCCCTGCTGTGCCTTTTAAAGGCATTTTCTACTGTCAGCATGTAGTTTCATACTCACCAAAAAACTAATGTTAAGATAAATGCTTTGGAAGAAAACTATCAAACTTAATTGGGGGTTAGCTTTACTATAATTATCTTTGATGTCGTAAACGTAACATTAGTATACTATTTGTTTTTAAATGGTCATTTTGCTAAGTGAATCAGACCTTTTTTTCTTTTATTTTTTTTTTAATGTTTATTTTTGAGAGAGAGAGAGAGAGACAGATCACAAGTAGGGGAGGGGCAGAGAGAGAGAGGGAGACAGAATCTGAAGCAGGTTCCAGGCTCCGAGCTGTCAGCACAGAGACAGATGTGGAGCTTGAACTCCTGAACCCCGAGATCATGACCTGATCTGAAGTTGGATGCTCAACCGACTGAGCCACCCAGGCGCCCCAAATCAGACCTTTTAAATGTGAAATATTATCAAGGATGATAATCAGAAATCTGTCCCTAACGATTCCTTTTGCATCCAGGGTTAGCCACACCAGTTGACTTGAAGCTGAAGTTAATCCCCATCCTTCAGCACATGCACCATGATGCGATCCTGGCGTCCAGCGCACGTCAGCTTTTACAGCAGCTGGTCACGTCCTATCCCTCCACCAAGATGGTGATTGTTTCTTTGCACACTTTTACTCTGCTTGCCGCTTCATCTTTGGTTGATACGCCTAAGCAGGTAATTTCAGTTTTCTTTAAACTGCCTTTTCTTCAGTAAACTTTCCTATTAAGTATAAACCAAGAAATTTAAGTAACCCCTAAGTTTTACTGACTCCTAAGTTTTGATAATATTAAGGTCCCTTTCTCTGATAAAGATGACTTTAATTTCCTTTTGCTTGCTTTTTTCTTTCTGCATCCACAGTAGTAATTCTTGGGAGCCCTTTAAGAACATGAAGTAGAAGTGAGGGCACTTGGCAGAGCATGGAGTTGGCAGTAAAGATTAAAAGGCCAGGTTCTGTGCTAGAATCTTACGAGTTAAAGGATTATAAGTATACTTTTATGCACGAGGAGAAACTGGCCCAAACATGGACCCATAGCTAATAAGTGATAGGGCTGCAATCTGAAATGAGTCCTGTCTCAGATCTAAAAGCTTCACTAAACGGTAGTACATCCCTAATGGTAATTTCAGTGGCAGTGTTGTTCATGAATGACCTTTCTTTCATAGATTCAGCTACTATTGCAGTATTTGAAGAATGACCCTAGGAAGGCAGTAAAGAGACTTGCTATTCAAGATCTGAAATTACTTGCCAATAAAACACCACACACTTGGAGTAGGGAAAATATTCAGGTATGTACAACTTTCAACATTAATATTTTATATAGAAAAATAATGCAACATTGTCATAAATTGTTCTACTTTCCATTTTTGTACCATCTTTGTCATCTTTTAAATGTTTGAATTTGAAAAAAAAAAAAATTAAGAGCAGTGTCGATACGTATGGCAGAAGTTATTTTTTAAGTGGCAAAATAAATACCTGAAACTTTTATCCTTTTGTGCATTGTTTGTTTTAGTGAGTTAGACTTTGCCTCTCAGTTTCCTGTTACTTTTCCCATAGCAGCACTAAGGCTACATGAGAAGCCCAGGAAAATCATTTATTTAATTCCTGTCTCCTTTACTCACTTTAGGGAGAACAGTTGGTGCCAGCTGTGATTTATTAGGGAGAAGGTACTGGAAGCGTAACTCAGCAAAGTATATTTTTTCTTTTTATAGAGAGGAAGGACATTCTTAAGTTTTATTTTGTAAATGCAGGAGCAGGTCTCAATCTCTAGACTTTTATTAAGGTTATTTACTTATTTTGAGAGCAAGAGAGAGAGCAGGGAAGGGACAGAGAGAGAGAGGGAAAGAGAGAATCCCAAGCAGGCTCCACACCATCAGTGCAGAGCCTGACGCAGGGCTCGATCCCCTGAACCGTGAGATCATGACCTGAGCTGAGATCAAGAGTCAGACTTAATGGACTGAGCCACCCAGGTGCCCCAGTCAATCTCTAGACTTTTAATGTGGCATCTTTTATAACATTTTTTAGGTCAAGTTAATGTTTTATATTTCTTCTCAAAAGAAGAAATTTGTTTATTCATTACTGTTAACTGATGCACCATTTCTAAAAAATGTTTGAAGTGAAATGGAAGATTATTAGAATGTAACCTTTATTTTCATGGATTTTATTATCTTTTGGTGTCATCATAGCTACAGTGCAACAAAAACCTTTGAATTTCAGATCATGAAGCTAAGGTGCCGTGTTAATTTGGGTTTTTTGTTTGCAGTTTTCTAAACACGTTTCCGTATGTTGTGATTGGTAGGCCCGACTATCCCAAGAGATAAGGGCAGGTGTTAGTATTTGCATTTAGGGGGTGAACAAATTAGGGTTCAGAGAGACTTAATATGCTTAAGAGAGCTTCTTAAGGGGACTTAATTGAGATTTTAATTAAGAGAGCTCTGTCCTCTCATGCTTTTTCCACTAAATAATACTGTCTTTCCAAGAAGAGAATGTACTCGGCTACAGTAGGGAAGCAAACCCAGTGAAAGTGTTGTATTATTCCTTCACATTTGCCTCTTTATTGTATGACACATCACACATACAAAAAAGTATGTAAAATATGGTTTAATGGTTTAAATAATTGTAAATGAAAACAATGTAGCCACCATCCAGCTAGAAATAGAGGACTGCAGGCTCACAGACCCCTGCCACCTTCCCTCAGAACCAGAACACCTACCCAGAGGAAACTGCTATTTTGACTTTTGTGATAATCGTTTCTTCACTCTTTATTGTTTTACCACCTATATATGCTTCCCTGAAAAATAACATTTAGTTTTTGTTTTTATTTCTTTTGCTTAACATCGTACTGATGAGACTCATCCATGTGTTTGCATGTTTTGTTTTTTTTTTCCCTTTAATGGCTGTGTAGTTTTCCATTATACGAATGGACCACAGTTTATTTGCTTTTGATGGGTTATTTCCAACACGGGCACTTGCAAACAGTGCTGCTATGAGCATTCTTTATCTCTTGGCACATATGTGCTGGGCTTTCTTTGTATACTTAAGAGTGAAACTGCTGACTTCTAGAATATGTAGATCTTCAGCTCTACCAGTTAATGTCAAACTGTGTTCCAAATTGATTGAGCCAGTTTACATTCCTAATAAGGTGAGTGCCCATTGGTCCACTTCCTTGCCAACACTTAGAATTACCAGACCTTTACATTTTTACCAGTTTAGAAGTTGTAGTTTTAATTTCTAATTCCTTGATTACTAAAGAAGTTGAACATCCTTTTAATATGTTTATTGATCATTTGGATTTCCTCTTTTGTGACACAGCTATTCAAGTCTTGATTACTTTTCTGTTGATTTGTAGTCATTCTTTGTATATTCTGGATACTTGTACTTTATTGGTCCTTGGCATTCTATATAAATTTCAGAAGCAGCTGATCAAGTTCCAGGTAAAAAAAAAAGAAAAAAAAATGCTGAGAGGGATGCCTGGGTGCCTTGGTCAGTTAAGCATCTGACTTGATTTCATCTCAGGTCATGATCTCATGATTTGTGAGTTTAACCCCCTGCGTGGGGCTCTGCACTGACAGTGCGGAACCTGCATGGGATTCTCTCCCTCTCTTCCTCTTTCTGCCCCTCCCCCCTTTTCCTCTCTCTCTCTCTCTCTCTCTCTCTCTCTCAAAATAAATAAAACTTGAAAAAAAAGCTGATCATTTCATTGGGATTACATTGAATGGAAAGATCAATTTGTAAGAAATTGATGTTTTTACAGTGTTACGTCTTCTAATACATGAATAAATACATTGCATTTATTTAGTTTTCTGCAGTTTATCTTTTACCTTAGTCTGTTTTGTCTGATACTAATATAGTTACTTCAGTTTTCTTCGGGATGTACCTACATGGTAGAGTATCATCTTTTTACTTCTAGTCTTTATCTGTATGTTTCAGATATATCTTATGTTAATTCTGCTACAAAGACCTTACAACACACTACTCATTTATATTCCTCTAAACTCTTACATATTGTTGTCATGTGTCTTAATTCTGTCTTATCAGTTTGGTTGTTTTATAAATTCATTGATCATTTGGACCTTCCACCGTCTTTGCTCTTCAGGCTTTCTCTCTGGGATACTTTTTTTTCCTGCCTTTGGAAAGTCCTTTATTGATTGATTGATTGATTTTTTTTGATTGGTTGGTTGATTGATTGATTGATTGATTGGGAAGTCCTTTAGTGAGGGTCTGTGGTGGTAAGCTCTCCCAGTATTTGCTTGTCTGAAAATGTCTTTATTTTGCCCTCAATCTTGAAAGATACTTTCTCTGGGGGTAGAATAATGCCCAGGGCCTCGAGGATACCATTCTGCTGTCTACTGATTTTCATTATTACTGCTGAGAATGGCAGTACTCTTTGGAAGGAACTTTTTTCCTGCTTTAAATTTTCTCTGTTTAATTTGACGGTCTGCACAGTGAACCATCTGTGGATTTCTTCTGTTTAAACTGTCTCGGCTATTGATTTTCTTGAAACATAAGAATGGTGTTTTTCAACACTTTTGGGAAATTGTCAGCCATCATTTTTGCAGATGTTGCCAGTCTATCTTGCCTTTCCTCCCGGATGTCCAGTTAAATGTATGTTAGCCCTTCTCGTAATCACCCCCGTAATCTTTATCTTTTTTCTGCCTCTATAACTCTCTGTGCCGTGCTCTGAATAATTTCTCCCGTCCATGTTTTAGTCCAGTAATTATCTCTCCAGCTTATCTAAGGTCTTTTCAGACCTGTCTCTGCTCTCTATTTCTCTTGGCCCTCTTTTGTAGTACCCTTTTTCCTTATATACTTGGCTGTTTTTTACTTTGAGCTCCTCATTTTCCTTGGAGAAGTGTGTGTGGGAATCTTCTAAAGAATAATTTCTCTAGAGAAGGTTTGCGTTTGCTTCTGCTGGGTGGAGAGACCAGGTAGTGATTCATGTTGTGGGGAAAAATAAAGTCAGGGAAGAAGATCAGTGAGTGAGGAAGAGGGAGGTTCTAGTTTTATGTAGGGTGGTCAGGGGAGCTCTCACTGAGAAGCTGACACTTTAGCAAGGACGTAAAGGAGGGATCCCAACTTTGTGAGCCTCTGAAAGAAGAACATTACCAGCAGGGAAAACAGCAAGAAAAAGGTCCTGATGTGAGAGCATTCATAAGTGTGAGATCAGTGTGGCTGTACATACAGTGTAAGATGGGTGGAGGGGGTAGCAGATCATTTAGGGCCTTTGAGTCCTTTGTAAGGAAGGACTTTAGCACAGGCCATTATTATTTTTTCATTGAAATATATTTGACATATCACATTGTGTTAATTTAAGCATGTTATTATGGGACACTTCCATATTGTAATACGATTGCCATTGTTGTGATAATTAGCACCATCACATTACATAATTATCATTTCTTAATTTTAGTGTTTGGAATAGTTAAGTTCTAGAGTCTTAGCAAGCTTGATGATGATCATACAACATTGTTTTCCATATTCACTGTATGATACATTAGATCTCTAGGACTTATTTTACTCATAAATTTGTACCCTTACACAACATCTGTCCTATCCTCCCACCCCCAGGTTAGACAGAGAGAGACAAATACTCTATGATGTCACTTATTTGTGGAATCTGAAAAGGCCAAACTTAGGAAAACTAAAACAGTGGTTACCAGGGTGATGGGGGTGGGGTGCAGAGGACATTAGTATACTTGTTCTAAGAGACTCTCTCTGACTTAGATATATTGAGACTAGATTGTAGGGACACAAGGGCAGAAGCAGGGAGAACATTTAGGAGGTAGTTGCAAATATTCCAATTAGAAAATACTGTGGTTATCTGAACCCGGGGGAGCAGTGGAGATAGCAGCGAGAAGTGGTAATATTCTGGATATATTTTAAAGGCAAAGCTGACGGATTTACTGGCAAATTATACGTAGAGTGTAAGAGAAAGAAAGAATGACTCAAGGTTTTTGGCTTCAACAAATTTACTTGGATTGAGTAAGATTCTGGGAGGCTTTTTTCTTGAGGATCAGGAGTTCAGTTCTGAACAAATGACGTTTACAGTGTCAGACATCCAAGTAGAGATGTCAAGGAGTTGGGAGTTTAGTGAACAGATCTACCTGAAGTTGTAAATATGGGAGTCATCAATTTATAGATGGTATTTAAAGTCATGAGACCAGATGAGTCACCTAGGGAGAGAGTATAGATGAGATTCAAGGAACGATGAAATAAGAAAGAACCAGCAAAGCAACCTGATATGCAGCCTGTGAGGCAGGAGATAAGTCAAGATAGTATTATTTTATAG